TTATTTTAAAGGTGGTCATATGTTTTGTATACAAAATTGGCCAAGTAACAGGCAACTACAGCTGTTAAAATAAATGTAGTGGAGTAAAAACTGCACTTAAGTACATTACTTGAGTAAACGTACTTTGAATTTTGCTGAATTTTAAAGATAAAAATGTTTCTTGGGGCAGTGAAACAGCCTCTATAACTCAGACGCAGATCAACAGGGTCTTCACTTTGTCCTCTCCAAATGTAATGATTTTGAGTTTTCTGGATAAACTGAAGCATCCCTCTACTTCTTAGGCTAAAATAAAACAATAAAAACATGTAATTGATTTAAAATCCCATTACAGATACATGGTTGTGACAGCTGAAGCACGCGACAAGCTGTAAGATAATGACAGACAACACAACCTTGTTTCGTAAACAATTAATTCTTTATTTCACAAAAAAAACAAGCATTTAATGGACATTATTACATACTGGAGGTGTATGAATTACCTGGGTTTGTTGAAAGCAACAAGAAGTAATTGTGAGTGTGCATGAGTGCGACATAAAGAGAATATAATGTCTATTAAACAGTATTTAATAATCCTTGGCTGTACTTACTCAGACGAGGCCTCTCTGTCCAACCTTCATGTTCTCCTGTGATTCCTCCCAAACACACAACTAAACACACAAAGAGAGAGAGAGAGAGAGAGAGAGAGAGAAACAATTTCATCATTTTTATTTTCTCCCACCCTGTATTGATTGTTTTGATTTCCTGCTGGTGCCACTCAGTTTCTAATGTATTAAGCTCGGAGGCTTACTCAGCTGCTGCGGTGCACAGCATTCGTGTCAGACCATGAAGAGCCATCACTGGGAGCTGTGCAGGATTCAAAGAGGAGAGCCACACCACAGCATCAAACCCGCACCACCATCCATCAGTTAACATGAGGAAAAAGGTTCCCCCATCACATCAGACACATCAAAGTGTGGCTGTGGATCCCTGAGGAGGAGGGAGGAGATGAAACAGGAAATAGGTTAAAATGCAAGGGAAAGAAGATTCGTGCAACATCCAAGAAAATAAGAAATTATTTCTCACTTATGATGAAATAATAAGCCCAAAAAAAAAGAATAATTATGGCGCACTTTAGTACTTTTTGCGCAACAACAACACCAACATCCGAACATTACATAATTATTGTTTAAGTGCTGCAGCTCCTCTCAGACAGATACATAAAAGTGATCCTGGAAAGATTTACTGACATCTGGCGACGGCTGGCTCACCTGAGCTCACTGCTCTATTTATTTATGTCAGGGGCGTTTATTGTCGGTCTCGTCGCAGCTTCGCGCCTCCGCAGAGTAACTCCGCACTCATTTATCACGCCCAATGAACTAAAAGTAGAATTCACTTTCAGCTTCACATTTTCACCGGATTTTTTTTTGCAGAGTTGTTTAAAGTGTCGCCTGGTTAAAATCGATCCTCATTACCGTAAATACAGACTGTAGTTAATGATTGTCGTAATTAAGGCCCACCTCACCCGGACGAATTAATCAGTTACAACCTGATCCAGGTGCACATTTCTGCTGATGTGAATGTTAAACACACACACACACACACACACACACTCTCCTGCGGCTTCATTGTTTGTTTCTTCAACACACTAACAAAACTCAGATCCATTAAAGTACAAGACCCCCCCTTTATTAAACTAAAATCAAACACATCTACCAGAGCTATCACTAAAGCAGCACACACCTTTATTTATTATTAAATTATTATTTTTCTGATCATTATTTTATTTAATCAACATTTTACTGTTCTGTATACTTGTATTATCTTTAATTGTCTTATTTAGTTAATTTCTTGTCTTATTTTTTTCTTTTTTTGTTGGAGAGTGGCTTGTTTGGGTGTTCAGTAGTCTCTAAATCCATTTTTAACATCCTAAAATGTACTTTTAAAAATTGCATTTGATCTGTTTGAAAGGTGCTTTATAAATAAAGTTTTGAAACGATAGCCACAGATCAATTACTGGACAATTAAACATGCTGCTAGTGCTTATTGTTTTACTATTCATCTCTGCTTTTGTGCTCCTGTATATTTTTAATGTTTTTTATATGCCATCAATAAAGATTTGCCTGTATGGATACATCTGGCACATTTACATGATGGACCCAAGTGACTGCACTGTCCCTCTTAAATAAAATAAACATAAACATATAATTGGGTTAATGTGATGGACTCTAAGAAGATGAGATGTATTTGTATTTAGAGCATAAAATCAAACATTTTCATACTGTTGGCCTCAAATTAAGTGTCTGTCAAATCTCCCTCTTCCACTGAAGAGAGCTACGAGGGATACAAACATCGATTTTCAACATGTTTAACCATCAGCAGCAGAAAACAGTGAAGGGGATGGAAATGACTTTAAGTTGGACCAAATGCATAGCTTTAATGTTCAGCTTCTGCAGAAACAGTAAAGTCTCATATAAACAAATCTGGTAGATTTTCTTTTTTTTTTAAAGAAAAGCTGGTTTGTAATTTTAAGAAGGTAAACTACTTTAAATCATTTTTGGACTTCACTCAACAGTCTAAGGCAAACTTAACATACACTGCTATTGTACTAATATAAGACTCCTCAGTCTTCTATAGTTGACTACACTAAGTAATCTATACAAACTTTACTGGTTGAGTTAACTGTGGTCGGATAAATGACTGAAAATGTTTAAATGACCAATTAATTCATGAAAACAACAGGAACCTCCACACAGGCTGAAGTATACAGCCTTGGTGTGTCTACATGTCTACAGTTTAAATGCCTATTTTTATAAAGTGCACAGAGAATTAATCTTTTTTAAATAATTTTAACGTTACTTAATGAGTGGATCTTCTTCACAGGAACAGAAAGGACAGTGCATACGGAAGGTTTTCAGACCCTTTCAAGTTTTCCACATTTTGTTGCTTTACAATGGATTGATTTTTTCCCCCTTATCTATCTACACACAACCCTCCACAAAGACAAAGCAAAAACAGGTGTTTGGTAGCATTGTTGCTTCAGTGTTAAACATCCAGATCCTGGGTTTGGATCCGGGATGGAGATGAGCACATTATCCCCATGTTTGTGTGAGTTTCCTCTGAATGCTCCCACCAACAAAAACACGCTGTTAGGTTAGTTCTCGTCTCAGTGCCTTTGACCAAGACACTGGAATTGGCTCCCGGGCGCTGCACAGAGGCTCGCAAATTGAGCTCTCATTCATTTTACTTCTATCAATGGTCCCAGAGATACTTCTACAACAGTCCACCTGTGCACACACCTGTCTATATAAAGCTTTCAAAGTGGATGGTGTAGAGTTAAAAGTAAGCCATGAGGTTGAGAGAACTGTTTGTAGTCCTGCAAGACAGGATTGTTTCAAGACACACAACAGGGAAGCAATGCAAGAAAATGTCTGCAGCATTTGGAAGTGCCCAAAAGGACGCCATCATTCTCAAATGGAAGAAATGTGGTTCCACCAAGGGTCTGCCTTCATCTGGCCGCCGGGCCAAAGTGAGATATTTCCCTTTGGGATGAATAAAGTATCT